CGGCGGGCGGTGGGCTCTGGGGGGGCGGGGCACCGGGCACCGGGCCACCGGGAGCCCGTGGGTGAGACCGAGCCGGGGAGCACCTCTCGGTGGGACCGAGCCCCCGGGCATCCCCGACAGCAGCGAGCCCTCAGGTAGCGCTGAGCAGGCGAGTATCCCCCGGTGTAACGAGCCCCCGGGCATCCCCGGCGGCACCGATCCGCGGGTGGTACCTCCCGATGGTACCGAGCCCCTGTGGTGCCGAGCCACCGGGCAGCCCTGGGCGTTGTCGAGCCGGTGAGAACCTCCGGGGGTGCCGGGCTCTGAGCAGCACCGAGCCACCGGGCACCCCCGGTGGTACCGAGCCCTGGGCAGTGCAGAGCCGGTGAGTGCCCGGCTGGGATGGAGCCACAGGTGCCCACGGTGGGCACTGAGCCGCTGAGCACCCCCAGTGGCACCGAGTCACTGGGCATCCCTGGGTGACACCGGGACAGCGAGCACCCCTGGGTGGTGCTTAGCCCCGGGCACTGCTGGTGGCACTGAGCCTCGGGTGGCATCCAACACGTGAGTCTGCCTCAGTGACACCTCTGGGTGTTCCCAAGTCACTGAGCAGCCCTGGTGGCACCAAGCCAGTGGGCACTCCTGGTGACAGCAAGCCCCTGGTGACAGCAAGCCCCTGGTGGCACTGAGCCCCTGGTGGCACCAAGCTGGTGGGCAGTCCTGGTGCAGCCAGTTTCCCAGTGGTACCCATCTGTGCTGTGCTCAATGCCCTTGGTGACACTGAGATTTGGGCATCTTCTGGTGGCATCAAGCTGGTGGGTGGCACTCTCSGGGCTGCAGGTCCCCATGGTGGGTGTCCCCTCTGGTGGGGGTCACTGCATCCCCTGGGTGCTGCCTGTGAGCTCCACCGTCACCAGTGGGCCAGGGTCTGGCTCYGTTCCTCTTCCCAACCTCCTCCATTTTAGGATTTTCCCAGCTCAGRGCTGCTCAGGGAGCAGGGGCAGGGTCACAATGCTGGGCCAGGATTGCAAAGCCTCCCAAATGGAGGTCCTGTGCTCTGAGCCTGCCAGGCTGGGGCAGACGGGCACACRATGGGCAGGGCCACAGGTACAGGTGCTGCCTTGCTCCCCTCCTGTGGATRGAAGAGGTGGGACCTCACCACCCATGGGTGTCCCAAGAAGAGCGACTCTGTGCCCCTCTGCTGGGTCAGGCAGGGCTTCGTCCCCCCAGCCCTTGGCCCTGCCCAGGCCCGTCTCAGGCGGCGTCGCCCGTGGGATGCTCTGAGTCAGCAGAGTCTGTGCTCCATCCTGCCCTCGAGGAGCCCCCGGCCTGGGTGGGGGGCCAGGGGCTCCAGCCCCCCTGTTTCCAGYGCTGCCATCCCGGTAATGAATGCTCTGCTCTCTGCGGGGACTCTGCATTGGGGCCAACACGGGGGCTGAAGTCTCCGTGCCAGCCCCTCTTTTCCGTCGCGTGTCTCAGACACTCAGGACCAAGCGTGTGCACATACATGCACTTATACATGCGTGTGCAMGCGTGTGTGCCCACAGACCTGCTCCGACCTGGCCTGGCCACACGTGCTGTTGGCACAGCCGTGAGYTCACGGCATCCCCACCGCTGCTCCAGCAGCTGGGTTGGGCCCCATCCCCTCCTGCCCCTCCACCGGAGCCCACCCCGTGCCCCCCGTGCCCCGGCCGCCACCCCCTGCCAGCACCGTGCCGGCACGGGCGCGTCCCTCCGCACGGCCCCCCGAGCGGCGTGTCATGTCCGATCAGCGGCGAGGCGGGTGCCTGGGGCGAGGGGCTTTGTGCCTGGCCAGCGTGGCTCTACCACCCCCCCGGCCGCGGTGGCCGAGCCCATTCAGCTCCAGCGGCCTGCGGCTAATCCGAGCTGATGCCTGGATGCGTGGCGCGGGAGGTGTCCGGTCGCTGGGTTTGGGAAAAGCCCTGCTCCCCGCTCCGCTGGGGACCCCTCCCCGACGGGACCCCCGGCTTCCCGGCTCGTCCTGCCCGGCAGGTTCCTGCGGGACGATTACTCCATCCAGGTGGCCATCAATGACTACCTGGACATCTACTGCCCGCACTACGAGGGGGCGGTGCCCGCCGGCCGGGCAGAGACCTTCACGCTCTTCATGGTGGACCGGGAGGGCTATCGCGGCTGCTACGAGACCCCCGGCGCCTTCAAGCGCTGGGAGTGCAACCGGCCCCGAGCGCCTTTCGGGCCCGTCCGCTTCTCCGAGAAGATCCAGCGTTTCACCCCCTTCTCACTCGGCTTCGAGTTCCAGCCGGGGGAGACCTACTACTACATCTGTGAGTGCCCTCGGGGTGCTGCGGGGCTGCACCGGGGTCAGGGCGCGTTGGGGGCACTAGGTGCGGTCCTCAGGGTCAGAACATGTCAGGGGTTTGGGGTGCAGCTCCCCAGAGTTAGGTCTCATCGGGGTCCCCGTGGGACCGGGTTTAGGGCACATGAGGGGGTCAGGGCGCACCTAGGATATCACCGGGGTTAAGGGGAACACGGCGGGTCTGGATAATGCCAGCGTTGAGGTGCAGTGGGCTCTGGATGTCCCAAGGGTGGGGGCATGCGAGGTGGGGATGCAGGGGGTCTGGATGTCCTGGGGTGGGGAATTCACGGGRGGCGCGGGGTGCAAGGGGTGTCTGATGTCCTGGGGTGGGGGATTCACGGGGAATGCGGGGTTCAGAGAGGTTCTGGATGCYTCTGGAGGGGTTAAAGAGGTTTCTGGATGCTCCTGGAGTGGGACAAAGGGGATCAGGGTGCACGGGTGGGGTCTGGATGCTCTGGGTGGGGGGTGCATGGGAAGGTTGGCTGCGGGAGGGTCTGGGGGTGCAGAGGGGGTCTGGATACGCCGAGGTGGGGACACGAGGTGTCGGGGTGCTCCCGGTTCGGGGTGCAGGGTGGGCTTTGGGTGCTCCGGGGTGGGGGCGCCGTCCCCGCGTTCCGCCAGGAGGGGGCGCCCCCGGCCCGCTCTGAGCCGCCGTCGGGGGGTCCCGGGGGGGCCGGACCGGAGGGTCCCCGCTGAACCCCCCCCTGCCCAGCCGTCCCCAGCCCCGAGAGCGCCGGGCGATGCCTGAAGCTGCGCGTCACCGTCTGCTGCCGAGGCACCAGTGAGTCCGGCTGGTGGGGCTGTGCCCCAAAACGCAGGGGCTCCCCCTCCCCCGGGGCAGACCGGTCCCCACTGCGGGCTACCGGAGCCTCGGGGAGCCGATCCCTGACAGCGGTGGGGTTTTTTTTCAGCGCCAGAGCCGGTGACAGAGGTGCCCAATTCGCAGCCCCGAGGGCGCGGGGGCCCCGAGGGTGAGTACGGGGCGACCGGAGAGCGGTGGGGAAGCCGGGGATCGGCTCGCTCTGACCTCTGCTTCTGTCYCGGCAGATGTAGTGCCTGCCCGGGGCACCGCGGTGCCATCGCAGCCCTGCCCCCCGTGCCTGGCGCTCCTGCTCCTGGCCCTGCTCTGGGTCTGACCCCGGCGCTGCCCGTGGCGGGGGGATGGGCTCCTCTGCCCCAACGCCGCTTCCAGGCTCTTCCTCACAGCCAACCCCCCCGAGCCCGTGAGGCAGCCCCAGGCCATGACCCGCCTGCCGGACCTCCGCAAAGACGAGCTGGGGCCGGGAGCTCCGGGCTGGAAGGTGAGGACGTAGCGGGGGCTCCGGGGAGGTGGGCGGGCATCCCCCGGTTGCCCTGCAGCATCCCTAGACGGGGTTCTCTCCCTCCCAGGGCCACCGCTTGCTGCCGGCATCGCCGCACGTCGGGATTGCCGCGAGTCAGCATCGCCGCCCGCCGGGATCGCCGCGCCCCGGCAGCGCCCCGCCGGCCTCCTGCCCCGGCGCTGGGGTCCGCTCAGCGAAYGCCTGCTCTGCCCCACGGCCATCGCCTCATGTCGTGCCTTCCCCCACGGACCCCCCGCCCCTGGGGGCCAAGGGACCCCCAGCCCCGGAGCGGGGCGGCAGCACCGATGGCGGCACCTGCCGCTGCCGTGTCCTCCTCCGGCGAGGACACGCTGATCTGTCTTCTGGGAAGACGCCTTCCTCCGTGCCCTCCGTTTGGTTTTAACCCCCGGTAGTGACTGAGCAATACAGTATTTGCAAGATCGCTGCGCCCCGGCTGTGCGGCCACCCCGCGGGTCTCCCTGCCCGTGCCCCCCGTCCCTGCGCCGGTGCCAGGGCGGCTGCCCCCCAGTCCCTCGCTCCCTCCATGGCCGAGGGCTTAATTGCAGCAGTTYGGTATTGAGTCGTCAGCTCCTGTCACCGGAGAGCTTTAATTACAGATGAGCTGCCAGTAATTAACACCCGATGGTGGGATGAGCGCTGGGACAGGAGGCGAGGGGGCGGTGGGCCTGGGGATCACTGCCCCCAGCGAGRCACCCTGGTCCATCTTACCACCCTMGGGTGTGGTTGGSGTGCCCACAGAGCAGCTGCTGTSCRTCYATCTGTCCRTCTGTCGTCCATYTGTCCCTCTGCTGTGCACCCCATGAGATGCACCYCCGAAGTCCGGGGCTGTGGGGAGCTGTAGGGTTTCCCCCCTTCCCCAGCGGGGGGCAGATCCCATGGCACAACCGGATCCCTGTCGGAGTCACGGCTCTGGTGCAGCCACACACCCCAGGCTTATGATCAACTGGCGGGACAGTTCCCTGAGGCTCTTGGCCCCCCATCCTTTGAGTGCGGCCCCCCATTTGTCCTCCTGGGGGGCTCAAGAGGGGCTGAACTCCCCCCGGGGCTGCCSGCAGCGGGGCCCCCCAGCCCCTCGCCGCGCAGGCGTTGCCGGCCGCCTGCCGCAGTGGTGCCGGGCACGTCAGACAGGTTTTATGGCTTCTGGGAGAAAGAAGCTGCTTGGCAAGAGGCTGAGCGAAAGCATCGACCGTGCCGCTCCCCTCCCCCCGCTCCGCTGCCTGCCCTGCCCCCACTGCACCCTGCACCCCATCCTGCCCCCCACCCTGTACCCCGTCCTTCACCCCAGCCCCACAGAGAGGAGTACCCCGCACCCATGGGGGGCACAGAGGCTGCTCAGTGCAGAGGGGGGCATTTCTTGTGGAACCCCCCCAGGAGGGGATGAGACCSTCCCCTGGGGGAATGTCCATCTGGGGGACATCATACCCAATGGACTCTCATGTGGGATGCTGGGTGGGGCAACCCAGCTGTGGGGATGCTGGAGTGCAATGGTGCCACCAGGACCAGCGTGTGGGGATGTCATGGGTGATGGTAACTTATGGAATCCCCGTGCAGGGATGATTAGGGGCTGTGCGCTCTGTGCGACCCCCCTACAGGGATGATTTGGGGCTGTGTGCCCTGCGGGACCCCCTGGCAGGGATTCCAGGCGATGACAATGCCCTGTGGTATCCACGTACAGGGATGCGCCCTTTAGGACCCCCATGAAGGGATTCTGGGGTGCTGTGCCCTTTGAGATCCCCATGAAGGGATTCTGGGGTGCTGTGCCCTTTAGGACCCCCATGAAGGGATTCTGGGGTGCTGTGCCCTTTAGGACCCCCATGAAGGGATTCTGGGGTGCTGTGCCCTTTGAGATCCCCATGCAGAGATGCTGGGTGGGGTCAACCCCCAAAGGAGCCCCAAACAAAGATCCTCGGGAACAACTGCACCCTACAGGACCCCCGTGCAGGGCTGCTGGTGGGCTCTGCCTTGTGGGAACCCAGGCAGGGATTCCGGGGGGGCTGCCCATTGCACCACCCCTTCCCCAAACCCCCAGGGATTCACAGGTGAGGCCAAGGGGTCCCCGGGGGTGGGTGCTGGGTCYGGGCGCAGCGGGGCCCCGTCCTTGAGCCGGCGTTGTTTGGTATGCGRGAGCTGCCACCGGCTTCAAATCCCATCGACTTCCAATGAGCAATGCCATCAATAACGGCTAATTGATGGCGCGGCCGCTCCAAATCAGATTCCCCGTCCCCTGAATCCAATTGATGGCTCCGCACCCCGCAGCCGCCGCGGCAGAAATTGAATCTATTCAAGGAATGGGCTCCATTAGCCCATCCCTTCTGTCTCGCCATCCCCCTGCCTCGGGGCCCCCTCATCATCCCCCCACCRACGCCACCCACACCAGCCGGGGTGCTGGGGTGCCGTGGGGAGGAGCGTGGGGTGAGGATGTCGGCTGGGTGGGAGTTAAACCTTCTGAAATCGGGAAGGAAAAAATTTATCACCTGGAATAGCGAGTGATGGGAAATGGAAATAGTCAGTGCCGAGATGGAGAGCAGGATAAAGAGCCGTGCCGTGCCAGGGGCTGGGAGCTGCGGTGGGCAACGAGGGGAGGGCACAGCATAGCCATGCGCACCCCATGCCCTGGCTCGCTGTTAGGACAGACACCGTGGATGCACCGWGGCACCGGGATGAGCCTGGGCACARTCCCTGAGCTCCGTGGTGCTCCCAGCACCTTCCACTCCTGGCACCAGATCCCTCCCCCAGCCACGCTGCCGGGGTCCCCCCWCCCAACTCTGCCGGGACAGAGCTTCAGTGTGCCCCAAACACCCCTCACAACCCCGGGGTGAGGATGAGGTCAGGCACTGCAGCCGTCCCGGGGCAGCCCCAGGACACACAGGGGACGTGTGACATGGTGACCCGCCCCGAGAGCTGAAAGGGTGCATGAACCCCCAGGGCGGTGGGGCCCATCCCTGCCTGCTTCCCATGGGCGAAGGGCAACGGCGGCAGCGCCCATCCAAGAGCTGTCGAGAGCATCCCGGAGATGGGAAATGGCTCCGTGTCACCATGGAAACGGGGCCACTGGCTCGACATGCCGAGGGGACACGTGTGCTGAGGGGACACGCACGCTGAGCCCTGAGGAGCAGGGCACTGGGGGTGCCAGGCATTGGGCACAGCGGACTGGACAGCACGCACTGGCCGCAGGCTCCCCAGGACCCTGGGGGCCACACCTCAAAGCCCATCACCCACCTTGGAGCAGCTCCCTCATTACCCGGCGGTCACGGGCACTCTGAGGAATGCCACCTCTTTGTGATGCCACCTCTTTGTGATGCCACCTCTTTGTGATGCCACCTCTTGGTGACGCCACCCCGGTGTGTGGTTCCACGGCGGCCGGGCAGCTCCGCACCACCACGCCAGTGCACAGCACTCAGGGTGCGGGGGCCGCAGCGGCTGTTCCCCGAGCAGCCGCCTGATGATGCGCATCGTCAAGGTTATAATTTAGCAAAACACTCAGCGGGGGCTTGGAGGGAGCCGGCCCGCGCCGGTTAATTAACCGGAGCCGCACGCACCGAGCCCGCTCCTGCCATAGCAATGAGGGCGCGGGCATCGGGCTGGTGCGGCACAGGCGGGGGCTGCCGCATCCCACCCGCATCCCGAGGGGCTGGGCGAGCAGCTGGTCAGTCCCGGATTCCAGGTGGGAGCAGCGGACACTGATGTTTGTGTCCACTGCAGGGTCCAGAGTGGCAGCCAGTGCGGCAGGAAGGGTCAGTGGGGTGTGAGACAGCCTGGCACGGGTGGGTGTGCGCACACAGGTGCTGCCTGTGCCATCACGGTTCTGGGATGGGAACCCCCACGGTTCTGGGCCAGGGTGGCTGTTTGTCCGTGCYTGTGTCCATCTGTCCTTGCACGTGCTGGAGGGCAGCCCCGGTCTGATGTAATCCTGCCGGACAACAACCCTGCTGTGCCAGAGCAGGGATGGGCAGGAGCTGCCCTTGCTGCCAGCGCTGCTTGGATCTGCTGCGGACTGAGGGTCTGCGGGGTCCCTGTGCTGGGACAATCCCTGGGGACAATGATTAGGACTTCAATAGGTAGGTGCAAATGACACAGGTGACCGTCCCAGCACACTGTGTCCCTGTCCCCAGGGCAGCCGGACAGCGAGGGCAGAGGCTGGGGTAGGTGCCCACTCCCAAGGGTGCCAGAGTGGACGCTGTGCCAGGGTGTCACCAGGCTCACACCATCTGTGCCACCGTGTGGCCTCTCTGGGTACGTGTCCAGTGGGAGAATGCTGTGGGGATGGTGGAGATGGAGCTCTGGAGTGTCTCAGGCTCCGCTCCCCACATYCACCGATCTGCCCAGTGCTCCTGTGATCCTCAGGCTCCTCATGAGCTTCCCTGGCAAAGAGCTCGTTAGCTGTTCCAGAGCCTGGTGCTGCTTSACCTGGCACTGGCGTTCCCTGCTCTGCCCTGGGCAGTTCCCTGGGTCCCTGCGGTCCCAGCCTGGTGACAGGGACAGGCCAGGCCAGCCYCAGCAGCTGGCAGGAGGGCTGGCAGGTGTGGCCAGCCCATGGCCAGAGGCAAGTGCAGCACAGGCAGATCGATGCACTGAATTATTGAGCACAGGAGCACAAAGTGGCTGCCACAGTGACACGGGGGGACACAGGGCCATGTGGGACACCCACCCAGCCCAGATGGAGCAACTGGAACCCACTGCCAGCTGCAGGAACACTGCACCCACCCAGAGTGGCGCTTGGGTGGCAGCACAGGGCACCCCACACCCTCCAGCACCTCTTGGTGCTCTCCTGGCTGATCCTGGCGGTGCCACCAGCACCTCCTGCTCTGTCCCCTGTCCAGCACCCAGCTCCCAGCACTGGCCAGCAGCACAGTGGAAAGACCCCCGCATTTTCTCTGTGCCCCCAGCCCCTCTTGTGAGCTCTTCCTAGCGATGTATTATTGAAGCCCCACCGTGCCATCGCTCGCGGCCGGCGTGACGGCAGGCGCAGCATCAGCCCTGATGAATATTTCAGGCCCTGAAATCTCCTGCGCCTGCACACTTAGCCCTGGTCCCCCCTTTCCCCCCAGCTCTTCAGCGCTTCTGCCCGGCACCAAGGAGGGCACAGCACGGCAGGGACGCTGTGTCACCTGTCCCTCTCCCTGAGGATGGTCACCTGTGTCATCCCGGGATGGGATGAGATGATGTGATGCTTCCAAGGGGAAAGTGGGTGATGCCCCCAGTGCTGGGGCAGAGACAGAGCATCCCCACCCTGCCAAGCTCAGCGCCAGCTTGGGGTTCTGAGGATGACTCCTGTGTTTCCTAAGACACCTATTCCCATCCCCAGCCTTACTGGGCTATGGGTTCCCTGGCACCATCACTTGAAGGGTCAGGGCAGGAGAACGGGGACAACCTGGGACACAGCACATTGTGGATCTGTCCCTGGCACCTCCAGCCTGGCACCCCCCGTTTCACTGCCGCCTCTGCCAGTGCTCCCAGATGCTGATTGTGGTGTGTTCTGTGCACGGTGGGAACAGGACATCGATGCTGCTTGTCACCCCTTCATCAGATTAACGTCACTTYGACACAACCAGACACTTCACAGGGGACACCGGGATGGCACGGCCAGGATGAGCAGAGCATGTTCCAGGGCCAGTGGGGAACCAAGTGCTGGGGCTGGCAGCCACAGACCCATCTCTGTGTCCTTGTCCCTTCCCCRAGGAGCTGTGGCTGCCCCGCCCAAGCCTCCCACATCTGTGCTGTGGCCATGTCGGAGCAGCAGGGGCTCGGAGCGAGGCCGGGGCTGCCACCGGTGGATGATCTTGGAGTGATCTTGAGGCCAGRAGGGAGGTTTGCCATGCGGGAGGAGAGGAGAGGAGCCGGCTGAGTCACCCGGTGCCGGCTGCTGACTCAGGCGCTTCCTGCCAGGTAACCTCCGCTGCCGGCGTGTGGGCTGCYGGGACACGGGATGTGGCACAGGGGACAGACGGGACACCAGTCCAGCACCCAGGGTGGGCTAGAGCGGGAGAATGTTTGGCTAAGCCGCACCGCGTGGTGACCCGGTTCTACCTGGGGTCACCCGGGACATGGGCACCGTGGCTGCTGGCCGTGGGAGCCACGAGGAGCTGGTGGCTCGCACCTCCCACCCGCCACCTCTGCGTGCCCACACAGCCAGGGCGGGTGAGATTTGGCACAGCAGAGCCTGCTGGAGCCAGGGTTCCGGCCAGCGGGCGTCTGGCGCCCAGGGCAGGAACCCTGCAGCTTCCTCCCGCCGGGCAGCGCCGGGGTGGGAGGGCAGCGAGGCTGGGAACCACGCACGGCTTCATCCAGCGGCTCCACGAGGAAGCTGATTTCCTCTGACGGCCCCGGCGCTGCCGCCTGGCACCGCTGCTCCCTCACTGGTGGCCGGGGCTGCGGTGGCACTAAACCTCCTCCTCTGCGAGCCCACTGCGTCCAGCTCGGCATCAATTAGCTCAGGCCGCTGAGGTGCTAATTAACGAATCGTCCCCGTGTCCCGCTGCGCATTAGGGCTCACCTCTGGTGAGAGGCTGCTCTGCCTGGACCTGTGGCTCAGCAGGGAGTGGGTGTGGCGACTGGTGGCACTGCCACCCATCCTCACCTCCCCTGTGCCCACGCTGCCAGCAGTCCAAGCCCAGCCTCAGGATTTTCCCCAGGGTTCCTCCAGAGCTGGGGCTTGCCCCTTCTCTCCCTGGGAAACGGGAAAGTTCAGATCCTGTGCCCTCCCCGAGGCGATGCTCGCCCGGTGCTCGTCAAGGCGCTGGCGCAGCGCAACCATCCGTGAGGCTTCATTCAAATTTAACGACTAAAAAGGGAAAGGGCAGAGATGAGCGGGGCCGGGTGGGCACACGGTTTGTCCTGGGTGTGTCCCAGRCACGCCAGCCTGGCAGGACAGCCCCAAAACACCAGCGTGAGGCTGCGAGGGGCTGCCCCAAACGCTGCCAGGAGGAGCTGGCAGGAGCCAGGACGGTTCATCTCCACATGGCCATGCCACAGCACTGCCAGCTCCCTGCTCCCCGAGCCCAGCCATCCGCCCTGCATGCCTTTGGCGTGTTCTTGCCGTGTCTGGCTGGACACGTGCCGGCACCTGGCTCCCGCGGGCGGCTCGGGAGCCCTGAGCTCAGCGCGTTGGGGCCTGGTAGGTGTGGCTGGTGAATATTTCATGCCCGCGTTCACCGAGCCCTTTCTTGGTTACACTCCTTGCCTCCTCCCCGCTCTCTCGCCATGTTTATTTATTTAATGAATTATTTATCGGCTCCCCCCTCTCGCTCGGCTGGGCGCTGCCCCCCCCCCCACACTCCCCCAGCCCAGCTCCCAGCCCGGCGCGATGATTTATTGAATGCCGGCTCTGCTCTGCGGTTGCGACATTCTGTCACAGGAAGCCGCGGTTAAATATTAACCGAGGCGGGCAAAGCGGGTGCCCTGCCCCGCCGGGCAAGAGCTCCAGCCCCCTGGTGCTCGTGGATGGCAGGTGGGAGGCTTTCCCCACCGCTTTGACGCCAAAAGGTGTGCCAGGCACAGGGTGGAGGAGACAAGGGCATGGAAAGAGTGAGGAACCAGAGCTGCTCCGTGCCCCAGCTCTCCCAGGCAGCTCGAGGTGTCTCAAGTCCTCCTGAGAGCGAAGCCACCTGGCCGTGTCCCCGCAGCCATCCCACCGCAGACCCCATATCCCATTGTGGCAAAMCCCCCTCCGTGTGCCAGGTTCCGGGAGAAATTCCCGGTGGGTGCTGACACCTGCACGTGAGCGCACACCATGGTGCTCTGGGGCTGTGTTTTGCCACCCGGGTCCCTTCGTCCCCCACCGGAGCGCTCGGTGTGTCCCTCCGTGGCCCCGCACAGGGGGGTGGGGGGGACCCCCGCGGTGAGCTCGGCGCTGTGCGGGCGCTGACGGCGGTGCGTGCGTTGCCATGAGCGGGGGGGTTTCCATGTGGAGGTGGGTGTTGCCATGGGTTTGCCGAGCCAAGGCGTTTCCATGGTGGCAGCGCGGTGCTGCGGGTCCTCCCAGAGGTGCGCGGTACCCGGGGATGCCACCGCTGCCGYTGCCACCGCGCCCCGGTACCTGAGTGCCCCCGGCCTCTGAGTGCCCCCCCGGCACTCCCCCGCTCCCACCCCCAGGCAGCCGGAGCCCTTTTCCACGTGTTGTGTTTTCTTCACTTCACTTCTTCGGATGAATAATTAATAGAGGCTTTTTTGGTCCTCCGGGCCTTTCCGCTGGCCCCCTCCCCCTTCCCGGCAGGGCTCCGGCAGGGCTTGGGCTCCCAGTGCCCCCAGCATGGATGGGGGCTGGAGGCTGGGGCATGGGCATCGCGGCTCTGGGTGTCCCACAGTGCTGAGTGGGAACGGGAGCCCTGCCCACATCATCTTTGTCCCATTGCACGGGCTGGGGCAGCATCCACATGGCCAAAGGGAGCCTGAGAAGAGAGGGGGTGACTCTTTCCTCGCTCTGAGCTCCTCCCAAAGCTTTGGGGAGCGGGGAGAACCCCCAGCACTCAGCACTGGGACATCTACACTGCCCAGGAAGCCGCAAGGCCCGGTGGRGACTTGGGAATGTGACATTCGGCACCGCACCACCCTGGCCACGCTCACCACGCCAGCGAGATAGCTCCTGGCAGGAGCAGCCCRGGCCGGCTCAGCAAGCCCAGCCACGGTTTCGGGAGCCTCCTGGTTTCATTCACAAGCTCCTCAGGCTGCCAAAGCTCCAGGTGATGCACTGCCGGAGCAGAGGCCGCCGGGCCGGCGCTGGTGACGCGCACGCAAACCGGCGCGGCCCCGCGTTGGGAGCCGGGGCTGAGCTGCGTGTGCCCGGCGAGCTGCGTGTGCCCGCGCCGGTGCGAGCCGTGCTCGTGTGTGAACACGTGTGCTGGGGTGCCCAGCACCTGGCACTCGGCTCTGCCGGGCGGTGCTGCACGGCAGTTGCTAAGGGATCTCGCCGGGGACGGGCGCTGGGAGCTGGCACCCAGCTCAGCCCGCACATGGACGGCGGGGAGCAGCACCCAGGGGAGCACCCACAACCGCCGTGGCTCCCTCCAGGGACTTCCACACCACTTAGGGTGTGAGRAGAGTAAGGGCCTGGCCGTGTGAGTGGGCGCTTGGCCAAGTGCTGGCTCCTGAGGGAGGTCGGGGCAGGCGGCAGAGCCGGATGCTGTGTCTGTGTTCCTCKGTCCTGGCACACGGGCACACACCCTTCCACCCACTCCCGTGCCTCCAGGGCGGCCAAACCCTTCTGTGAATACGTGTGACCCCCATGGCARCGGCAGCAGCAGCCTGAGGACCCTCCGGGGTCCTGAGCCCCSCACCCACAGCTCCCTCAGCAGCACGGACCCACAGGGGCCCAGCCAGGGGGACCCCAAGATCGGTGGGACCTGGCTCCGATGCCCCCACCAGTGGCTGTCCTGCTGAGATCGCGGTGGCACCGATCCCGGTGGGACAGGCACGAGTTCCCCCACCCCCAGGGGTCCCAGTGAGACCCCAATGTCAGTGGAACGTGACACACGTGTCCCCACCCACGGGGGTCCCGGTGACACCCCAGTGTCAGCAGGACCTGGCAAAGGTGCCCCCACCC